GAGTGGAAGACTCAGTGGTGCTAAATAACCAACAATTTAATTAACAAGAATAGCCAAGGCAAATTTTAAATTACTCAACTATATAAATACCGAAACCGCATTCATTTAATTCAAATACTTTGAAAGCAATGAGAATATTATAAATACAAATATGTCTCCATTCTTTTATAGCAACAATAAAATTTCATTTTTTTGTTAAGGCTCGTACTCATGCAGAATGAACATAAGCAAATTTGATCGTGGCCTATATTAGCGCCACCCACATACTCGTGCACTATGAAAGCACCACCGTGGCCTACTGAAAGCACCCACCCAATCACACCAAATAAAAGGCGTGCCGCCTACTGTTTAGTAAAGGCTTGGATAACCCTAGCATATGATTCAAGCTTCACAACTAACAAAAATTCCATCTCATCCATACCACGTTCTCAATCATTGCCCATAGTGAGCCCCAAATCCAAACACAATCTTTACATAAAAGCCAATAATTCATTTAATAAAACCTCTTCATTTATTTAATATCATCAGTTCAAAATTTTCTACTCAATCAACACTATACGCACTATATTATAAACTTAATATAGTATACAAAGTACATAAACTTCAAGAACTTTTTCCCAGCACTCTCTCATTACAACTTGCCCTTTGCTGGCGGTTTTCCTACAACATAACTCTGAGTTATGGGTCCCCAATAATGAATGAACATCAGATTCCATTAGAAGCTAAGACTAAAATGATATCAAATGTTCAAAGAAAGGGACGCAAAATGGCCCAGATTCAAACTTCGGTTAATAATAGCAAACACATAACTGCTAGGAAACACAGGCTCCCCGACCAACAGGGATCAGACCTGATTGCAGCAGAACCAAGTCAATGTTTCCTTGAATTCCTACTTTTAACCAAACACTTCCAAATGAAACCAATCTAGAACGAAGGAGAAGTATTCAAGACATAGACCCGGGCAACAACTTTCATGACAGAACTCCCAGACACCGTAACACTTTGTCATTTATAGTGCGTCAAAATGGGCACTCAATTTAGCTTGATGCCTGTTTGGGCCCATCACAACAGAGTCAATTTTGGGTGTTTCACAGCCATAAGTTGAGTTGGTATATCTCCAAATTGAGATACAAAGAGGGGATGGATGGTTGGAAACTAAGAAGTAAAAGATACGATGGGTTGGAAAGATAAGAAGTAAAGATACAACTTTTATGAAGAACATAAGATGTTATTTTGCCATTTGAGTGGTCAAAATGGACAATCATTTCGGGTATACAGGTAAGGCACCATAACAGAACCAATTTTGGTATTTAAATCATAAGTTGAGCTACAAGTATTGGAATTAGACATAAAAATATGTTTTAGAAAGCTGAGAAATAGAGATACAACTTCCATGAAGAAGTTAGAAACAGATGGAAAGTATAAAGGGGTCGAAAATGAGTTCCAATCCCACGGCAGAACATATCTCACATTAAAATTCATCAATTTAACCAAAACATACAACAAAGTTCCCAAATATATTCAAAACCCTAACCATGTAAAAAAAAAAAAAATACTACCCCCGCGCTCAAACAACAACCCACTACACCATCTCCGCGACAGCGCTTACTCTTTTTTCTTTCCATTTTCTTTCTTTCTTCTTCTTTTGTCTAAACAACACAAAAAAAAAAGAACCCCCCCACACCAAAAAAAAGAAAAAAAAAATCAAAAAAAAAAGAAAAGTTTTTTGGGGGCGCCGGCGGCGGCGCGGGGCCGCTGGCGGCACAGACTTACAAACCGTTCCACCAATGGAGGGGGGGGGGCCTGGGGGTTTTTTTTTATTATTGCACTAACCTTATTAAACAAGCTTGAAAGAAAAGCTTGGAAAATAGCCCTTACTTCTCTTGGCTTTCTCTTTTTACCTTTGATGATGGTCTCTTCCAACCTCTTTCAAAGTATTGAAGAATCAACATTAAAAGCAAAACTTGACAAAAAAAAAAATTAGTTGGAGCATTGATTTAATGTATCAATTAGCAATGGTCTAAACAATGAATCTACTTAAACAATTCATTTTTTAAACTCAAAAAATAACCACCCAAACTTACTTGCTTCAATAGCTAAACTTCATTCCTCTTGCTTTTTAATCACCAATCTCAAACTTTTCTTTACTCCTTAATTTCTTAAGAAATTAAGTTCCTATTTTCTATGGGTTTAGTTAGGTAGTTTTGGTTTGGTAAAAAAATTTGCGAGGTAAGAAAAATTGAAGGAAAAATTGAAAGAAGAAGGAAAAGAAAGCATTGGAAAATGGCGTTTGGAGGAAGTGAAAGGAAAGAAAAGGAAGGGAAGGGAAAAAAAAAAAAGGTTTTTTTTTTGGGGGGGTTTTTTTTTGGGGCGTTTTAAAAAAAAATTTCTCTCTCTTTT